ACTGCAGTGGGCAGAGGGCAGAGCTGAACAGCTGAGTGTCCTGTCCCAATTCCAGCCCAGGGCAACAGGCTTGACAGTAGACCTGGTGCCCGCCATGGCCCATGTGTGCTTTGGGGGGTAGCGGGGAGGTGCAGCCAGGCTGAGAGTTTGTATTTGTGCGAGTGATCCTTTGATCACCTAGATCTGTCTTTCCCATCTCCGGCCTGCCACTTCCCACCCTCTTTGGCCTCCTTAAATCCCCATGGGATCTTCGGTGCCAGAGGCGCAGTTCTGCCTGCCTGAAGTGGCTGTTCCTGCTCCCCAGAAACAGCTGCATTTCAGTGCTGGGTGCCTGGCACCCCATCCACCCTCCATCCTTGATCTCTCTCTCAAGAGGCTTTCAGGGCATAGTCCATGGCTGTTGGCAAAGTGCCCCAAAGCACCAGAGAGGCGCAGAGTGATCAGCATTCATGGTTCTCAGTCCTTATCCTTTGATTACGAATGGCTGGGCGACCCGGGAGAAGGCCCATTTTGTGCTTCGCTGCCTCATTGCGCTGGGAGTTTGGCTGCCTATTTCTTTGTGGGCGAAGGGAGAAGTGGATCGTGCGCGGGCTCTCCCCCCCCCTCCCAGGACAGATTCTCTGCCCCGCTTGGCCTCTGAGTGCAGACCCCAAAGGAGCCTGATAAGCCGCCCAGAGTCCTCCATGAAGCTCCGACACAGGGACAGGAGGGGTGTCTCCCCAGTATACGATGCAATGGAGATTCTAAGTGGCTGGACTGGGTGGGGGCAGCCCTCAGGAGTTTGCTGCTACAGCATCCCTGGGGCTGCTCTGATTTACACTGGGGTCTCTTTCAGGCCCTGGAGCAGCCCAGCTTCCTGAGGGCATGAAATGGCTTAGAGGTGCCTTTGCCCACCTCCTCTGGGGCTGCCCCTTCCGGCCCACCTCTCTGGGCGGCACAGCGTGGCAGCCAGCCAGCCACACTCCCCTCACCTGCAGAGCCGCCGAGAAACGTCCCCAGAACAAGCTCGTATTTGTCCTCTTCCCCCTTGAGCTTGAACGACCGGTAGCTGGCAAAGGAGCTGCTGCCGTTAAAATCCACCAGGTCCACACGGAGCTGGAACTCACCTGGGGGAAAGGGACAGCGCCCAGCATTAGCCAGGAGCAGGTTTTGGCTCCCTCTTGCCTCCAGGCGGCGATCCGGGCCGGGGCTTCTCGCCCCAGTGCTAGCACCGCCATGGGGTGACTCCCTCCGCAGGAGCGACGCCACGTCTGCGTGGCACTAGTGTGGGATCACCCGACAGTGGGAACTGGGTCCCGGAGAGGGAGAGGATCATGGCTCAGGGATATTCCCACCCAGCCTGGCCACTGCTACTGCACCATGTCCAGCCCCTCGGCAGCACTCTCCAGAACCCGGGGCTGGGGCAAAAAGGCCTCTGATGGGAAATGGCTGCTCACTTTTGCCCCCTGGGGAGGGCCTGTGGAATAACAGCCCCCCAGGGCAGGCTGGAGTTCCCCCGGGCCAGAGGCTGTGCTTCCTCACCCTCTTGGGTGAGTAGGTGGATGTTCTCATTGCCCAGCCAGAACTCGGAGAGCTGGCTCCCAAAGCCCTTCTTGTAGGAGCTCCAGGGGAGGAAGAAATCCACGGAGCCGTCCATGCGCTTCTGGAACACCTGGAGGGGGGGGGGGAGCTGGGACCGGCCTTCATGCTCCAGCAGCCGCAGCCCAGACGAAGCTGGACCATGGACCGGCTCTGTTCAATATCTTCATCAACGATTTAGATATTGGCATAGAAAGTACGCTTATTACGTTGGCAGATGATACCAAGCTGGGAAGGGTTGCGAGCTCTGGAGGATAGGGCCATCATTCAAAATGATCAGGACAAATTGGAAAAATGGTCTGAGGAAATCAGGATGAAGTTTAATAAAGACAAATGCAAAGTGCTCCACTTAGAAAGGAACAATCCGTAAGCTCCGGTGTGGGAAGTGTCCGACTGTTTAGGAAGGAGTACGGCAGAGAGGGTCTAGGGGTCATAGTGGACCATGAGTCAGCAGTGTGATGCTGTTGCAAAAAAAGCCAACATGATTCTGGGATGCATTAACAGCCGTGTTGTGAGCAAGACACAAGAAGTCATTCTTCCGCTCTACTCTGCGCTGGTTAGGCCTCAGTTGGAGTATTGTGTCCAGTTCTGGGCACTGCATTTCAAGGAAGATGTGGAGAAATTGGAGAGGTTCCAGAGAAGAGCAACAAGAACGATTAAAGGTCTAGAGAACAGGACCTATGAAGGAAGGCTGAAAGAATTGGGTTTGTTTAGTTTAGAAAAGAGAAGACTGAGGGGGGACATGATAGCGGTTTTCAGGTATCTAAAAGGGTGTCATAAGGAGGAGGGAGAAGACTCATTCATCTTGGCCTCTGAGGATAGGACAAGAAGCAATGGGCTTAAACTGCAACAAGGGAGGTTTAGGTTGGACATAAGGAAAAAGTTCCTAACTGTCAGGGTGGTCAAACACTGGAATAAATTGCCCGGGGAGGTTGTGGAATCCCCATCTGTGGAGATATGGAAGAGTAGGTTAGATAAATGTCTATCAGGGATGGTCTAGACAGTATTTGGTCCTGCCATGGGGGCAGGGGACTGGACTCGATGAGCTCTCGAGGTCCCTTCCAGTCCTGATATTCTAAGATTCTATGGAGGATCCAGAAGAGCAGCGACGGGCACAGTCGTTGGAAGTAAAGATCAGAGGGGGCTCTCCAATCTCAGGCTTCAGGGCATGAGCCTGTCCCCCAGCTGGGGTCAGGAAGGAATTCCCCCACTAGGGCAAAATGTGGCACCGCTGGATACATCATGGGTTTTTAGTGCCTTCCTTTCCCCCGCCTCCCCCCCAAAGCACCCAGCGGTAGCTATGGCTGGAGACAGGATAGACCGATCTGCCTGGAGGTGGCTCCAATTCCACCCCCACCTGCTGGGGAAGAACTGAGCTAGGGCTGGCCCAGAGTTTGCCGCTTGGATCCAGCCTTGGCACTTTCAGCCCTGGCAGTTAGCCTCTCCCAAGCCAGTGAGAGCCTGTGTCATCCCTTTGCCATAGCCTCCGAGCTGACTCTCCTTCCCCCCACGGCCACACAGCAGCCAGGCAGGTCTGGCTCAGCCGTCGGGGCAGAACCCTGGTCCATGTCCCAGGTGGCAAGTGCAAAAGGTCGGGCCAGGGGAGGAGGAATAGGTGCCTATATAAGACAAAGCCTCGACTATAGGGACTGTCGCTATAAAATCAGGACATCGCGTGTCCCTCCCACCTTCGTCCTTCCAGGGTGTGTCCACCTTGCACACGGCCAGCCCCTGGGGACTCGCACCATGCCTGGGGGAGAGGAGGGAACCCTTACCAGCCAGTGAAAGACTCGTGTGCAGGGCACGCCAGCCATCAGGGAAAGGCCAGTCAGACAGACGCGTCGCCTTCCAGCAATCTCGCCACTGTGCTAGCTGGTGGCCAGATAACCCAGGCGGCAGAGTGAGCTGGGTTAACTTCCCCCACCTCGACTCCTCCTGCTGGCTCAGGGAGACACAGCATGCTGCTGTGCTTCCTGCCCTGCACGGTAGCTTCACTGCGCACTGTCAAACAGCTGCCCCAGCCCTCCCCAGAGGTGGCTGCCATCCAGGGATGGGGGACGTGATTCCTCCGCAGGCGGGATGTGAAGCACGCAGGGGGGAGAGAGGAGGAAGGATTCACTTCCTGGCCACACTCTGCTACCCTCGCCTCAGTCTCCCGCACTGGGAGTAAAGCTCTCCGGCTCCTGCCCACCCCCCTTTTCTGGCTCTAGGATACTGCACTCACCAGCCAGCCTCCGCCGTCGGTGTCCATGTCACAGAAAACCCTGAGTGGCCGGCAGGCCGGCAGGTAGATGGTGTGCCAGCCGCTCAGGAACTCCCCTTGGTCCACAAGCTCCTTGCAGCTCCTTGGCCCTGAAATCAAGGCAGGATTTGGTTGCTGGGGAAACACGTCCAAGATCCCTTCTCATCCCAGAATGAGGAGGATGGAAGTGGGGACAGGCCGGGACTGGGTGGGTTCCAATGGACTCAGAGGTCAGTAACAGGGGGCCGTGGGCACATCGTCAAAAAGTGAGCAGCCACGCAGGCTCCAGGAACCTGGTTTAAGCTCATTGTCATTTCAGGTGGTGCTGGGGGGTTAACCTTGATGCAGTGCTCAGAGCAGGGGCAGCTGGGTGTCCGGGCTCATGGGAGGGAACTGCCCATCAGGATAGCCGGATCCTTGCTCCAGCTCCAGGAGGAAGTGTGGTCTATTGGTTAGAGCAGGGGAAACTGGGGTCTGTGCTCATGGGTTCATCATTAACTCACTGTGGTCACCTCATCTCAAAAAAGATATATTGGCGCTGGAAAAGAGTCAGAAAAGGGCAACAAAAATGATGAGGGGTCCCATATGAAGAGAGATTAAGAAGACTTGGACTTCTAAGCTTAGAAAAGAAGAGACTAAGGGGGGGGACATGATAGAGGTCTATAAAATCATGACTGGTGTGGAAATAGTGAATAAGGAAAAGTTATTTACTTATTTCCATAATATAAGAATGAGGGGTCACCAAATTAAATTAATAGGCAGCAGGTTTAAAACAAACAAACGGAAGTTGTTCTTCACTCAGCGCACAGTCAACCTGTGGAACTCCTTGCCAGAGGATGTGGTGAAGACTAGGAGTTTAAGCTCAAAAAAGAGCTAGATAGATTCATGAAAGTTGGGTAGGAATGGTGTCCCTAGCCTGGAGATGGATGAAAGGAAAGGGATCACGTGAAGATTATCTGTTGTGTTCCCTCCCTTTTGGGCATCTGGTATTGGCCACAATTGGCAGACAGGATACTGGGCTAGATGGACCTTTGGTCTGACCCAGTATGGCTGTTCTTATGTTCTTATATTCACTGTGTGCCCTAAGGCAGGTCACATCCCCTCTCTGTGCCTTGATTTCCCCATGTGGGGCTGGTAATGCTTCCCTACCTCAGTGCTTTGAGATCCATGGAGGAAAGCTGCAATTGGCATGCCGGGCACTATCCTTCCTGTTTTCCTGAACCATGTTCTTGTCCATCAGAAAAAGAATTAAACCTCCTAAAGTAGCGGTGGGGAACCTACAGCCCAGGGGCCAGATCTGTACCCTCTCCTGCCCAGACTCTGCACTGCCACTCTACTCCTGAACCTTGCCTCCCGCCCAACCTTCCCACCCCCAGCCCACTCCTGCACTGTACCTCCCTCCCAGACCTGCCAACCCCCAGCCCGCTCCTGCACCCCCTCCCAGACCCCACAGCCCAAGCCCATGTCCCAGCAACCCTCTCCCATGCACTGAACTCTCAATTTTTGGCTCCACCCCAGAGCCTCACATGAGTGAGTTGGGTTTTTTGTTTTTTGCATCTCCCTTTTGTGCGGCCCCCGACTGGGTTTTTTTGGTGGATCCGTGGCCTCCGACCCAGAAAAGGTTCCCCACCCTTGTTCTAAAGCAAGCAGACAAGCAAACACTAGCCTGCTTCTTCCTTTGACGTCAAACACACTGCAACTGCAACAGACCAGGCCTAACGGGAGCTGGTGAGTAGCTAGGGGCTGAAAGGGGAAGAGTCACTGCTCAGGAATGAGAGTCTTTGGGTTACAGCATTGGCTGGAGATTTAGTGGCGCTGGAGCCCTAGCTCTGCCATAGACTCCCTGTGTGTCCTGCGCAGTCACTGCATCTCCGTGGGGCGAGTCTCACACAAGTAGAGTAACCTGTGCAACTCTATGCTGCCCCGTGCCAACCTCTTCGCCCATACACCCCTCTTGAGCCCTTATGCTTTCCATCTGTAGAATGGGCCAGGGCTGCCCCCTTGGTCTGGCTTGGCTATGTGGCTGTAAGCCCGCCAGGGCGGGGTTGGTCTGTCGCTCGGGCAGTGCATCCCCTTGCACGATGGGGTCGTGAATCTCCCACATGCGACTGTAACGCAGCCCCTGCTAAGGCACGGAAGAAGCAAACTCACCGTTCTGGCAGAGGACAGACGGGTCGGGGTGGTCTCCTGCCATTGCGAGAAACAAAACACAGTTAGAAAGCAAAGCCCAACCACCGCCCTGTAGAACTTGGTCGGATAAACAGGGGAGGGTTCGTGGTTGGCTGCTTTTCCTGCAGGTTCCCAGCCACATCTCTTGTTGGAAAGGGACGTGTATTACCAGCTGCCTGCCATGCAACGTTCGAGGAACCGCGGCTGGCTGCGTGCCCTGCAGAAGGTGCATGTCTGCATGCAGCTTCTGTGTGTGCAACATTCTAGCCCCACTGGCTCTCTGGAAGGCTCCCTGTCGCAGAGACCCTGACCGGCCCTGCGATGTGAGAAGAGGTGGAAATGCTCCAGAGAGAGCCTGTTTCTCACCCGCACACGGGGGCACGATCTGGGGAGCTGTCTTGTCACCCTGAGGCTGGCTGGCTGGCTGGCACAAGCTTCATGCTGTCCCAGGCTCTGAGGGCCTGGACCTAGTTCCCATTGCACTCAGCCCAGAAGCCCCTCTTGAACCCCTCCAGGAGAACTCCGGCAGGATAAATTAACCCTGCTGGAGCCAGAGCAGAGAGGACTAGGCCCCAGCCCTGCCACCAATGCTTCTTGAAACCTGACAGCAAAGGCTATTCCCTGCCTCAAATACGAAGCCCCCCATTGTGTGTAATCTACACTCTCAGCCCCCCAAAGAGCATTGCCACATAGTTACCTCTTTCCCCTTTCGGTCCCGCTTTCCCGGGTGGTCCCGCAGCTCCTGAAAACCCAAGAAGATGGAGAGACACGGTGAATGCAGGCAAGTGCTTGAGGGCAGCTAAGAAGCAGAAAATGGTCCAGGGGGTGTTTATGGGGGCAGTTTTAAAGGGAGGACAAATGGATGGACTCAGAGGAAAAAGAGGGGATGCTCTTATGGTCCTGAGACACTCAATACCTTGGGGGAAGGTGCCTTCTAACCCCCATGATTGTCATTTTGTATATATTGTGAACTTGCATATAAAATATGTCATGTGAGGTGTCAAGGGAGAGGTTATGATTGGCTGTATGTTAGTGCACATAAAATTATGAGCTTGTGTTGTATGGTTGTCACCTAAGTTTCCTCTAAGCTGTGCTGCTATGGATAAGTAGCAGTTCAGCAGAAAAGGACCTGGGGGTTACAGTGGATAAGAAGCTGGATATGAGCCAACAGCGTGCCCTTGTAGCCAGGACGGCTAATGGCATATTAGGGTACATTAGGAGGAGCATTGCCAGCAGATCTAGAGAAGTGATTATTCTCCTTTATTCAGCATTGGTGAGACCACATCAGGAGTATTGTGTCCAGTTCTGGGCCCCCCGCTACAGAAAGGATGTGGATGCATTGGAGAGGGTTCAGCGGAGGGCAACCAAAATGATTAGGGGGCTGGAGCACATGACCTACAAGGAAAGGCTAAAGGATTTGGTCTTATTTAGTCTGCAGAAGAGAAGAGTGAGGGGGGATTTGATAGCAGCCTTTAGCTTCTTGAAGGGAAGGCTGGAGAGAGGCTGTTCTCAGTAGTGACAGATGGCAGAACAAGGAGCAATGGTCTCAAGTTGCAGTGGAGGAGGTCTAGATTGGATGTTAGAAAAAACTATTTCATTAGGAGGGTGGGGAAGTACTGAAATGCGTTACATAGGGAGGGGGTGGAATCTTCATCCCTAGAGGTTTTTAAGTCTCAGCTTGACAAAGCCCTGGCTGGGTTGATTCAGTTGGGGTTGGTCCTACTTTGGGCAGGGAGCTGGACTCGATGACTCCTGAGGTTTCTTCCAGCCCTAGGATTCTATGATTCTATGACTGCACGGGGTAGGTGGGGGAAAGAGGGGAATGTGTGTGTGTGATGGCATCTATGAAGTGAGGCAGAGGCAGGGGGCAGTTTGTTTGGGGTGTCCTAACTCACTTGCTGCTGTCAGTCCTCTCTGGCTGGCTGGGTTGGAGATATGGGAAAGCAAGCTGCATGCGGGGTTTGTATGCCAGGAGGACATTTGCATGATTGCAGTTCAAACAAAGTTTACATAGGTGTTAATGGCTTAAGATAATAAAGAAAACAATTCTTTTAACAGATTTTTTTTAGTGTTGCAAATATCTACAATTCTGAACTTAATGATTTTTTTTAAATCCTGTGTTACTATTTAATACATGGTAAGTTGCATTGCATTAAGGACAGATCTTTGCTATGTCGTAGAGTTCTGGCTTTTATGATGCTAGTTTTGTAGGATGAAACCTTATTTGCAAGCTCTTTGAAACATGCATCTGTCTACAAACCCTGAAGCCACAGATTAATTAGTTTTGGGGCTTCTACTCTTCCTCGAGTGGAAGAAGGCTAATTCCCTACTTTTGCACAGTGTCTTTGCAGTCACTAAGGGTACCTGACAGCAACTAGACATGGGTGTCTTGTTTTAATAGACATATGTTCTTCCACATATATGGACTGCTTAAACTATATGTACGTGTACGTGTGTGTGTACGTACGTGTGTGTGTGTGTGTGTGTGTGTGTGTGTGTGTTGGTAGTGCACATCCACACACTACCTCAATATTGGTGTTGCACATAAGAAATTTCAACCCACCCAAAAGAAAATTCAACCCGTCCAAGGATAGAAAATGTTATGGGGAACACTGGTTATCACTAAAACATGCTGTAAGTTGGGGAATCAGCCAGATAGTGGCTTCCCAGAGACAACAACAAGGAAAATAACCCCCACTTGGGTGAGTGTCAGGCAACCAACAAGAGCCAGTGTCCAGCAAGGGAGCTACACTGCAATGGCTCACCTGCATAAGGCCACACCAAGGGAATTGTTCAACTTTGCCCGGGGACTCAGCAATGCCCACCAGACATGCGGGGACTTGTGTTCTCCAAGCACATGGGACGGGGGGGTGGGTATAAAAGCGACCACAAGAGCCCCACGCCTGGCCTTTCTCCTGCCCCTACCCATACTGCATGCAACAAGACACTGAGGAGGTCAATGAAGGCTCCAACAGAGGAGACTGGCCCAGAGGTAAGGGCCAAACCTGGATACAGCCTCCCGAGTTGTGAACGGTTGACTTACGACCGATCGCAGTTACGACCAAAAATGTTGTAAATGGCGGACCCCGCGTTACGAACGCAAGCCGCACTTACGAACAGTGTGGTCGCGTGTAACTCAATGGAGTCCGACGTACGAACGACTCGAGTTACGACCAATTGCTTGGTCCGTAATCGGTTCATATGTCGGGAAGAGGCTGAATTAAGGATGACAATATCCAGCAGGGTGAGAAAAAACTGCTTGATGTAGCTGTTGCCAGTCTACTAGGGCTGGGAGTTTAGACGGCACACTCACTTTTTATATCTGTGGGTAACTAACTCTGATTTTTTGCCTCTCTCTTATAGTCACTCCAGTTCTATCATTTGCAGTCAGTAAACTTGTTTTACTATTTTACCCTCGCCAGTGAGTTTGCCTGAAGTAAATCTGCTTGGGGTTTTACAGAGGCTGGTGTGTGTCCACTTGCCATAGAGGAAGTGGTGAACCAGTTAATCAACACGTACTGCTTGTCTGGAGCAGAGCAAGGTGGTGTATTCCTGAGGTTCAGGGCTAGGAGCTGCGGGGGGGAATCTCTTGGTACCTTTCGCTGGGTGACTATGAGCGGCTCTGGGAGCCTTTGTGCAGTCTAGCTGGGTGTGGGGGTCTCCACATGCTGAGTGATAACAGGGCCTGGAGGGGTTTGCTGCTTGGTACTAGCAAAGCATCGCAGGAGACAGCCCAGGCTGGAGAGCTAACAGCAGCACAGGGGTCCTACAGTCCCAGGCTGCACCCTGGGGATCCTGTCACAGATTCATCACTGCTCGTTCCCATAGCAACCACATGGAGCAGCTCATGAGGAGTGCCCAGCTAATCCCAGTGGAAGATGCCCGGCCATCTAGCCTGGAGGAGGTGGGGGGCAGGGCTCCTTTCCAGCTCTGAACAGGCCGGTCAGTTGAAGCCTGTCTACAGGAACTAGAGGCAGGGTCGTGTGCATTTGCCAGAAAGCAGGGCGGCTGGGCTTTGGTTTCTGGCAGACAAGCTGTGTCCTTCCCCCAGTGGAGGGCACCCAGCCCATCAGGGACTAATTAACATGTCAGGAGGGGCTGATCCTTCAAACACATGTAGCCTGCTAAGGACCATGCCCCAGCCAGTGTGACCGTGGCCGATGGGGGTCGCACTGGGCATGCCCAACAAAGTGCCCAGGTAAATATGCGGTTTGCGCCCATAGCCAGAGATTCACCATCTCTAGCAACACCTCTGAGGCTACGTCTACACTGCGGGGCTATGTCTAGATTGCATTCCTTTTTCGTAAAAGGGATGCAAATTAGATGTATTGCAATTGTTAATGAAGCGGGGATTTAAATCTCCCCCGCTTCATTAGCATAAAAATGGCTGCCGCTTTTTTTCGGCCCGGAGCTTTGCCAGAAAAAAGCACCAGTCTAGATGCAAATCTTTCGGAAAATAAAGCCTTTTCCGAAAGATCCCTTATCCCTCTTAAAATAAGGGATAAAGGATCTTTCGGAAAAGGCTTTATTTTTCAAAAGATCCGCGTCTAGACTGGCGCTTTTTTCCGGCAAAGCTCCGTGCCAAAAAAAAGCGGCAGGCATTTTTTTTCTAATGAAGCGGGATTTAAATCCCCGCTTCATTAGCAATTGCAATACGTCTAATTTGCATCCCTTTTACGAAAAAGGGATGCAATCTAGGCGTAGCCCGGGTGTTTTGCAGAAGAGGAAATGCAAATGGAGTGCTCATTTGCATATCTTCTTCTGATCCTTTTTGTGGAAGATGTTTTTGCAATAAAAAGTCCTGTGTAGATGTGGCCATTTGTCAGAAAAAAAAACCCTTTTGCACAAGAGCCTGTAAACCTCTTTCTTTTGAAGAATAAGGGATCTTGCGCAAAAGGTTTTTTTTCCCAACAAATGGCCCCGCCTACACAGGGCTTTTTATCACAAAAACCTCTTCCGCAAAAAGGATCAGAAGAAGATATGCAAATGAGCACTCCATTTGCATTTCCTCTTCTGCAAAACACCCGCCGTGTAGACGTAGCCTGAGACATCAGGCCCCAGCTGCTTCTGGTGCAAACGGTGCATTGATTTCAATGGCGTTTTGCCAATTTGCACCAGCAGGGGATTTGACCCAGAGTACGCAGGAACTGACCAAGTCTGATACCCTTCTTGTGACCGCCGCGTTCTCCACCTCCCCACAGATTCAATGGGAGCTGGCCCACGGCCACCCTGCAAGCCCGGGGGGAGACATCAGGCCCCAGCTGCTTCTGGTGCAAACGGTGCATTGATTTCAATGGCGTTTTGCCAATTTGCACCAGCAGGGGATTTGACCCAGAGTACGCAGGAACTGACCAAGTCTGATACCCTTCTTGTGACCGCCGCGTTCTCCACCTCCCCACAGATTCAATGGGAGCTGGCCCACGGCCACCCTGCAAGCCCGGGGGGTTGCCCGATCCCCTCTCCTCTCTTACCTTTCAGGCCAGGTTGTCCGGGTGCCCCCTTTTCCCCAGGCATACCGGGACATCCCTGCAATATGGTGAGTTTGTCAGCGCCGGAGAGACCCACCACCTTCACCTCTGTGGAAACACAAAGACATGGGAGACGCGGCGCCTGGCAGCACCTGCTCTGCAGCGGCACCAGGGCTCGGCCCCAGCCCTGCTCTGTGTTCAGTCTTTTCCTGGGCCCCTCCGGACATTACCGCCGGCCCCTCGGCTTTGGGCGCCTCTATGGAGCGAGGCCCTTGGATGGGACCTGTCTTGTTCTCACAAGTCGGCCCAGCCCAGCAGGGGAGATGGAGGGGCCCAGCAGCCTACCACTAGCATGGTGGTTTTGCCTCTGCTCTCAGGGAGCGCCAGCCCCACTAAAGCGAGGCCTGACCCACCATCTGGGCCTGCTCGGGCATGGGCTTCACATGGTCTAGGGAGTGTGGGGACTAGGCTGGGCCCTTGGAAATAAATGCTTCCCAAGACATCAAGTGGGTGGGAGGGTCACTGGGGGGCTTCCACCCCTAGTCCGCCCATCCCGGACCAGCCGTGTGACCTCCCGTTTACAAACAGCTCTAGCCTGGGTTTCCTGGCACATGGGACCTTTGGGGGGGATCAGCTGAGCTCTCCCCATGATAGGCACTCCCTGGGGTCCAGCCGACATCCCCCCCGCTCGGCACCATCCTGTCACCTGCATGGAGGGCCCAGATGGAGCCCTGCAGCCAGCCAGCCCGCCCAAGGGGGTCAACACCCCAGGTCCAGGCCTCAGCTGCCCAAGACTCAGCTACTGCAGTGCAGGAGCCAGCTAGGAAACTCGCCCTGCTATCGAAGGGCAACAGGGTGTCTCCATTTACCGCCGGAAACCAGCGTTTCTCCTACCTGGGCAGGTGCCGGGGTCCCCAGATCCCAGTGGCCAGGTGACGAGCCAAAGCAGGGCTGGAACGAAGCTCCACAGGCCGACTGGACACATCTTCGCTCTCTTCACCTGTGACCCCAACTCCCTCGCAACTTCTGTACTTATGTAACAACGCCCTGGTGGGAAACTTTTCCTGGGAAGTCAACTGTGGCTTCCTGCTATTGTTCCAAGGCATAAGAGCTCCCCTCTTACCCCAGAGACCATGTGAGGAGGTGGGGTCAGCCCTCTTCCTACAGCACAGTGTGTCCTAGGCCTCATGCCATAGCAACGCCCTGCAGAGGGGAGACATGGAAGCCGGCGCAGTCCTGCCTACCTATGCTGGGAACTGGGCTGGTAGGCTTTGGAGCGTGAATGCGAAGTGCAGCCACACACGGGGCTGAGAGCTAGGAAGTCACAAGTTGGGTGCCCAGTGCTGAAATGAACGCTGCCTGCCGTTGTGTGCCTCAGTTTCCCCATCTGTGAAAAGGGGAGAACCCCCTCACCCTTAGGGCAGGCAAAGCAGCTGCTGACTAGAAAGTGCATTGTGTGGGATAAATGCATGGGGGAGGTTATCCAGTGGGTGGCACGAAGTGTCCCTCACCCCAGGGCACCCATGGAGTCTAGGGCAGAGCAGGGAACAGCCAGGCTAGTGCCCTAACCGCTAGGCCATCTGGCCACTTGCCTTGCTGTAATGACTGACCTGTTACGTCCATGCGGTACCTTTGCCCGGAAGGCTCTCAGAGCTGTGCATGCTGCAGCTGACTGACCCAGGCACCTGCAGCGGCCGTGGTGCGGCTGTACTTCCCGCCGGCACGTTGGCAGCTTTGCTTCAGGCATTTTCATCGCCCCTCATGGGCACTTTTCTGTGAAACACGCCCTCGTGGCAGCCTCCTTCGCATGGAGAATGCGGGAAACGTCATGGGCAGGTCCAGGGCCTCCCCCCTCCTCATCCCACCGACAGGCTCCTTCTGGGGGGAAACTCCTCCCAAGGGGGGCTTGTGTGAAAATGGCTTCAGTGAAATGCAAACGCCCCAAGCTGTCACTGTGACCATTCCACACGCAGCTCGTAAGCCCTGAGTCCTGGCTCCCCTCTCTGGCCCGAGACGCTGGGAAGGGGCCTTCCCACAGCTCCTGGGAACGGCTTCTCTACAGGGACGGGGAGAAGAGACCCAGAGACTCCTTAGCAGCCGGCGCTAAGGTTGGGCCGGGGCAACGTGCCCTCCCTTTATGGTGGTTTTGTTGGGATGTGTAAAATGACTAGGGGTCTGGGGTAGTGGAAAGGAGTTCAGCCACTGTCGGCATTAATAATAATATATGGAGATATACCTATCACATACAACTGGAAGGGACCTTGAGAAATCATTGAATCCAAACCCCTGCCCTCACAGCAAACAGCCCCCCTCAAGGACTGAACTTGCAACTGTGGGTTTAGCAGGCCAATGTTCAAACCACTGAGCAAGACCTCCCTTTGCTTAGTCCCTTTGTTTTTGCAGCCTAGAGAAAACTAGATAATCATGCAGCTGCTCTTTGTTGCATCTTTTACCTACCCTCACTGGCGCTGTATAAATATTTCAGGGTTACTTTTCTTGTAATCTCTGTGACCTGCTGCTCTGGAAAGTTTGCAGCACAGAAAAGTTGCTTTACTTAGAAATTCTGTAAATAATAATTAGGGGCAGGTATAATAATATTCATCACCTGCTTATTAATATTTATGTTATGGGAGTTAACATTACTAAATAAGGTTTTAGAAAAAGCAGCGATAGACGTGTGAACTAACATACTAAAATAGATAAAAGGGTGTAATTGGTGTCAGGCTGTTGCCACTTGGCCGTTGTGTTGAATGTGCAAGGTAAATGTGTGGGGGCAATAAAGCACTTCTGTTGACCCCATTCACTCCTGGGTCACGTGTTTCTTCTTGAACAGTTTTGTTCACTGCGGGTTGGAATTAATTCCAGGGAGAAGCTGGACCAAAGCAAAGTGAAGGTCACAGAGAGGGCTCAAGACACCTGCATCTCTATTGCCTCTCTATAAAACCATGGTAGGCCCATATCTTGAATACTGCATAGAGATGTGGTCGCCTCGTCTCAAAAAAGATATATTGGCATTGGAAAAGGTTCAGAAAAGGGCTACAAAAATGATGCGGGGTTTGGAACAGGACATATATGAAGAGAGATTAAAAAGATGTGGACTTTTCAGTTTAGAAAAGAGGAGACTAAGGGGGGGGGCAGGGATATGATAGAGGTCTATAAAATCATGACTGGAATGGAAAAAGCAAATAGGGAAAAGTTATTTACTTATCCCTACAATATAAGAACTTGGGGTCACCAAATGAAATGAATAGGCAGCAGCTTTAAAAGAAACAAAAAAGGAAGTTTTCTTCACTCAGCACACAGCCAACTGGCGGAACTCCTTGCCAGAGGATGTTGTGAAGACTAGGACTTTAACAGGGTTCAAAAAGGAGCTAGATAGATTAATGGAAGTTAGGTCCATCAGTGGCTATTACAGACCTAGCCTCTCTTTGGCGGGAAATGGATGTCAGAAGAGGGATCAGGTGAGGATTACCTGTTGTGTTCCTTGCCTCTTGAGCATCTGGTATTGGCCACTGTCGGCAGACAGGATATTGGGCTACGTGGACCTCTGGTCTGACCCAGTATGGCCGTTCTTATCTCATTTCCTGAGGGCAACACGGAAGCTGGCTGGCACTGGGGGCCAATGTCCCCTCTAATTTTTTCCATCCATGTGCAGAATAATTTGTTTGTGTGTGAGAGATGTGCACCACCATTAGAAACAAAAACCTTCCTGTGGGCGCTCTGCTAACCAGCTGGGTGGCCCTGGAATTGCTCCTGAGTGGCCACACAAGCACCCAGCTCACAGGGAAGGCTGGTCTGGGGGCACAGAGGAGTATTGCTACTGGTGCCAGGGCCCAAGAGAGGCCAACAAGGGCCGCTGAGGAGCCCCTGGCAATTCTAACACTTGCAGGGGGTGCAGATCTCCCCCCTCCTAAGCCAGGGGCTAGCTCCAGACAAAGGGATTGGCAGCCATTTCGTAGCACCGGGTTTATTGCGGGTCCAAAGGGCACCGCCTAAGTGCTTGGGTTTCTCTTCCTAGGAGTAATAGGAACCCAGACTGCATCTTGTGCTGCTGGGGGTGGCGGGGGAGGAGGAGAGACAAACCACCCACTCAGAACATTCCCAGCCCCCAGCCTCAGCCCTTCACAGCCCCCTCCCCCCAGGCCATGGGCCAGCAGTGGAGGCCTGGCTCCCTGCCACTGGAGAAGGGCAGCGGGGGAAAGGGGGTGCCACCCTCCGTTATAAGCAGACCTAGGGCAAGGATTCATCACCCTGTCCCCGCCCCACACGCCCTGGGCAGGAGTTGAGTCCCAGTAATGCACAGCCCAGCTCCCCCACCCCCACAGGGGGGCAGCCACCTGCTGGAAACTCACAGGCCAGGCTGCAGGGGGGCTGGCAGCTCCCCCGGGGGGGCAGAAGCCCCGGCGCCCCCACACACGACCCAGAGATCCCACACG